TCCGTCGCCTGCCGCTCCGGCGCCGCGGCGATCCACGACGACGGGCAGAGCGTGTCGTCGTAGTCGATGACCATGAGCCGCAGGCGCGGGCCCGGCGCCGGGGCGATGGAGTACGTGGCGCTCATCGTGGCCTTGCAGTTGTTTTCCTCCGAATCTCCGCGGGGGCAGCTGCGATTTCGCGGCGGCTTCGCGGGCGCGGTTGCAGAGAGTCGCGGCGGGGCGGGCGCGAGGTTTTGCTGCTCCAAGCACGGGAACAGACGCCGCGCAGTGCCGCCCACCGAGTTTGAGAGCGGCCGTGATGACCTGCTTTCAAGAGGCGGCAAAGCACACTCCGAGCACAGAGTGTCGCCGGCCGCGATGTTGCGTTCAACGTGAAAGTATCTATGCGGCTCTCTTTGCGGTTTCGGCGGGCTCGTCTCCGCGCCTCCCTCCCTGGCATCGTCGGTCGAAGAGCGGCTCCGGGCTTCGCGGCGGCGCGGGGTGGCCTGGGCGCGGCGGTCGTTTCTCGAGGCGCCCGGCGCCGGCGCGCCGGGGCGACGCCATGAACTTTGATGGGGTGCGCGACGCGATGCAGAGCGGGAACGGGCGGCGCGTGACGCTCCAGCGCAAGCTGGGGAACACGTCGGCGCCGGCGGTGTCGAAGCGGACCCTGCGGGTCGGGAAGGGGGCCAAGTCGAAAAAGGGGCGGGAGAAGGAGGCCTTCACGAAGAAGCTCGACCAGCTCCGGCTGGGCATGGGCGTGTCGAGCCCGCGGCTGCCGTCGCTGTCCAAGGTGACGTCCGAGGAGCTGCAGGAGATGGAGGCGGAGGCCAACTACCAGCGGGAGCTCATGAAGCGGCGGACGATGATCAGCGAGGGCTTCCGCGTCAACGGCCGCGTGTCCGGGCTCCGCGTCGTCGCGAACCCGCAGGTCGCGCCGGAGAGCTTCGAGCCGACGCCCATGTGGCAGCTCAGCGAGTGGCTCGACGAGCGCGTGGGCGTCGTGAACCCCATGGGCAACTTCCGGCTGACCTGGGACATGATGACGTCCTACCTGCTCATGGTCTGCCTCTTCCTCACGCCGTTCCAGCTGTGCTTCATCCGCCGCGAGCTCGGGCCCTTCGAGCTCATCGAGATCCTGAACCTGGCCATCGACCTGATATTTTTGATGGACTTCCTGCTCACGTTTAACACGGCGATCCTGGAGAACGGCGAGCTCGTGACGTCGCGGAAGCGCATCGCGTCCAACTACCTCAAGGGCTGGGCGTGGATCGACCTCGTCACGGCGATCCCGACGGCGCACATCCTGCACGCGTTCCAGATGAGCACGTCGGCGGCGAGCAGCACGCGCCTGACGCGCTTCGTGCGCATCATGAAGTTCTCGCGGCTCCTGAAGATGTTCAAGCTGCTGAAGTTCTTCGACAGCATGAACCAGTGGGACGACGACCCGGGGCGCCAGATCCTGACGGACTCGCTCCACTTTCTCAACATCATCCTCATCGTCTTCTTCCTGAGCCACTTCTCCGCGTGCGCGTTCGCGTTCGTCGCCGACGGCGGCAAGGGCGACGGCTGGCGGAGCTCGACGTGGGTGGCCCACTTCTTCAACGAGGGCTACGACCTGCGCAAGGGCGACTCCGTGGAGCACTTCTACGACACCACCGGAAATACGACGACGATCGCGTCCGCGACGGCGCGGCACACGCGGCGCACGTTCCCGACGCCCATGCGGCTCTACATCGTCGCGCTCTACTGGGCCTTCTCGACGCTGACGACCGTGGGCTACGGCGACATCGCGCCCGTGAACAACGCGGAGATGCTGCTGACGGTGCTGGTCCAGTTCGCGGGCACGTGCGTCCTCGGCTACGTCATGGCGGACGTCGCGGCGATGATCTCGCGTGAGGACATGAGCAGCCGCTTGATCAAGGAGAAGATCGAGGCGATCAACGCCTACATGAAGCACCGCCACCTGCCGGCGCCGCTGAAGCAGCAGATCCGGAACCACTTCTCCTACATGTGGCAGCGGTCGTCGATCTGGGACGAGCGGGAGATTCTATTGGAGCTGCCCGCGTTCCTGCGGAGCGACGTCGTGCTCTTCAACAACTCCTCGGTCATCGAGGAGGTGACGCTCCTCGCGGACCTGCCCCAGTCGATCATCGCGCGGCTCTGCCTCCACTTCGAGCCGAGCCAGGTGTCGCCGAACTCCAAAATCATCGTCGAGGGCGAGATGGGCAACGACTTCTTCATCGTCGCGAGCGGCAAGTGCTCGTCGACGCTCGGCATCCCCACGGTCATCGCGGACTCGCTGGACATCGAGCCGGAGCTCCTCTTCCGCTCCTTCGAGAAGGGCGACTTCTTCGCCGAGTACACGCTCTTCACGCCCAACAGCGCCAAGCACCCCTACACGGTGCGCGCGACGGGCCCCATCGAGCTGCTCATGATGAGCCACGAGACCTTCGTGGGCGAGTCGACGAAGGAGCCCCTCGTCCGCGAGCGGTTCCAGCTCCTCGCGGAGAAGCAGTACCAGGACACGATGGAGCTCTTCGCGTCGCGGAAGAATCTCTGGGGCGTCAAGCGGCGGCCCGCGACCGTCGTCACGCGCGAGAGGCCCGCGACGTCGAGTTCGCGCGAGAAGAGCGGCCCCGTGTCGCTCAGCGCGATGCACTACACGTCCGCGAAGGAGCGCCTCGAGTACCAGCGCCTCGCCCAGGAGGAGCGCGAGGAGGCGGCCCGCGAGAACATGCGCCTCGCGGAGAACGAGACGGGCCTCAAGCTGTCCAAGATCACGACGCGGACGCTCCTGCAGTGCAAGATGTGGGCGAAGCGGACGATCCTCAAGCTCCAGCACGACGCCGCGCGCCAGGCCATCTTCGTCAAGGAGCAGCAGGAGAAGGCCAAGGCCGTGCGCAGCAAGCGGCGGACCATGGCCATCCGCCGGACCATGGCCCTCGTCAAGGCCGCGCCGGGCGGCTCGTACACGCCCGTCGTCGCGCCCATCGTCGAGCTGGCCGACGACGAGGTCGAGGACCTCGAGGAGACCAAGGTCGAGCGCAACGCCGTCGACGACGCCCTGGCGCTGGTCGAGGAGATCGCGCTGCCGCCGGACCAGCGCGCGCGCGGCCGCGCGGACGACGACTCGTCGGACGGCGACGAGAGCGAGACGGAGCTGTCCCAGAGCGGCCGCGCGGCCGCCGCGAACACCGTGGACGCCAAGGGCCTCAAGTCTATCGAGGCGCGGCTCGAGCACCGCCTCGACAAGCTCGAGGCGAACATCATCGAGAAGCTCGCGAAGCGCCTCGACATGACCATATGCAAGTCCATGCTCAAGATGAAGGACCAGCAGCTCCTCCGGGGCCGCGGCTTCTAGGGTGTGCGTCTCCCCCGTCGCTCCGAACCCGACTTACGATCGCCTGTTCTTACTTGCCCGGCGGGCACGTGAGCGCGGCGACGAACGCGGCGCCGCTCCCCGTCGCGAGGAGCGCGTCGACGTTCGCCTGGACAACGGCGTGGGGCTCCTTCATGAGCGTCCGCAGCACGGGCAGGAGCGTGTTGTAGACCTCGCCGCCCTTGCCGCCGTCGAGCAGCGCGAGCAGCGACGCGCGCGCGTGCGCGAACTCGGGGCTCGCGTACGCGGCGTCGCGCCGGAGGCCCGCGACGGCGTCGCGGAGCGCGTCGCGCTCGGCCAGGGCGTCGGCGAGGCGCGTGCTCAGGGCGCCCAAAGCCTCGCGGTGGTCCGCGCGCTGCTCGAGGAGCTCGCACGTTGCGCGCGCGTCGCGCCGGCCGTCCTCGGCCTCGCGCGCCGCGGCGGCGCCCGCCGCCGCGGCCGCGGCCGCCGCGGCCGCGGCCGCGTCGACCTCGTCGTCCGTCGCCGCGGCCCGCGCCGCCGCGACCCGCGCCGCCTCGTCGAGCGCCTCCGTGCACACCGCGAGCGCCGCGCACGTCGCGCGGGCCGCGTCGTCGTCCCTTTCCAAAACCGTGAGCCAGCGGTGCACGGGGTTGTAGGCCTCGCGGATCATCTCCTTGAGCGCCGGCGCGACGCTCGACGCGCGCGAGTCGCCGCCGTCGCGCGACGCGTGGCAGAGCTGCGTGACGGCCATGGCGACGTACGCCGCGCGCGTCGCGGCGTCGTAACCCGCGGCGCCGTCGCCCGCGGGCGCGGCAGGCCGCGCCCGCGGCGACGGCGCGGGCGCGGGCGCGGTCGCGTCGTCGTCGGGCGCCTCGACGACATCGCCGCCGCCCGCCTCCCCGCCGCCCTTGAGCGCGTCGTTGGCCCTTTCGAGCCGCGCGAGCTCGTCCCGGACCTCGCCCGAGAAGTAGAACGCGCGCCGGCCCCGGGCCTCGTCGAGGTGCGCCTCGGCCTCCGCGAGCTTCGCCTCGAGGGTGTCGATGGTAGCCCGGTGTGCGCGCATCTCCGCGTCGCGCGTCGCCGCGTAGTACGCGCCGTGGGCCATGGCGCCCTCCAAGGCGTGGTCGAGCGCGACGACCTGCCGCTTCGCCGCGCGAGCCGTCGCCGCGCCGCGCGCCTCCGCGGCGGCGACGCGGTCGTCGACGTCGATGTAGGCCGCCTCGCGCGCGGCGACGGCGGCCGTCGCCGCGCGGTCCGCGGCCTCGAGGCGCGCGGCCGCGTCGCCGCGGTCGCGCTCCAAAGTCAAGCACCGGCCCTCGAAGAGGTCGCGCTCCGCGGCCAGCTTCCCCGCGCGCGCCTCCAAGATCGACTGGCCGCGCCGGAGCTCGCTGATGTCATGCTGGGCCGCCGCCGCGCGGTCCAGCGCGGCCCGGAGCTCCTCGGCCGCGACGAGCGACCGCGCCATCGACTCGTAGTCGTCCTCGGGGTCTTCGACGGGCGCGGCGGCCGGCGGCGGCGGCGGCGGCGCCGCCGGCGCCGCCGCGGCCTCGCGCCGGAGCCGGCGCCGCAGCTCCTCGACCTCGCGGTCGAGGGCCTCGCGCGCGAACTTCTCCCGCGCGAGCTCCGCGGCGACGGCGGCCGCCTCGCCGCGCGCGGCGCCGGCTCGCCCCGCGGCGGCGAGCGCGTCCTTGCGCGCCTGCTCGGCCTGGAGCCGCGACGCCGCGGCGAAGGCGTCGGCCTCGCTCGCGCCGCCCGCGAGAGCCGCCTGCGCGCCGCGGAGCGCCGCGAGCTCGTCCCGGAGCGCCGCCGCGTCGCGGCCCGCGGCGCCCGCGGCGGCCGCGGCGTCCGCCGCGCGCGCGTCGGCCGCCGCGAGCGCCTCGTGGGCCGCGCCGGCCGCGGCCCGGAGGCCCGCCGCCTCCTCGCGCGCGTTGGCGGCCGCCCGCGCGGCCTCGGATCGCGCGCCGTCGGCGTCCGCGGCGCGAGACTCCGCGGCGGTCGCGGCGCCGCGCGCGGTCGCGAGCTCGCGCTGCGTCTCCGCGAGCAGCGCCCGCAGCTTGGTCGCCTCGGCGAGGCCCGCGGCCTCGGTCCGCCGCGCGTCGCGGAGCGCGGCCTCCTTGACGCGCGCGAGCTCGCCGTCGTCGCTGTTCGCCGGCGCCGGCGCGGCCGGCGCGGCCGCGGGCGCGGCGGCCGTGACCATGTAGGGGTCCTTCTCCTGCAGGCCGTCGAGGTTGAAGAACTCGACGTGCGACGCCTTCTCGCGCACGCTCGACGCCTGCTCGCGCGCCTTTTGCAGGCCCTGGCGCCGCAGGTCGTCGACCTCGCTCATGGCCGTCATCGCGCGGTCCTGGATGGCCGTCCAGGACTGCGACAGGTCGAAGCCCTCGGCGCCGCCGGTGAGCCGGTCCAGCGGGTTGACGAAGCCGACGCCGGCGGCGCCGTTCTCGGCGCCATCGGTGGCCATCGTGCTCTTGCACTCTGGAGTCTCTGCCACAAGATTGCCACAATCTGCCACAAGCACCGCAGCGAGCTCGTCGTCGCCTGCCGCTCGACGCGCGCCGCCAGCGAGCTCGTCGTCGCCTGCCGCTCGACGCGCGCCGCAGCGAGACCGATCTCGTCGCACGCTTATTAGTAAACGATGAGCGACATGGAGAAATGGGACGACGCGGCGCTCATCGACGCCGTGCGCCAAGGCATCGACGACCTGCGGACGAGCGACGCCGGCGCCGCCGCCGCCGCGCAGACCGAGCACGTCGACGCCGCCGCGGACGCCGAGGCCGCCGCGGACGCGGACGAGGAGGACGGCGGCGGCGGCTCGGAGAGCGACGGCGACATGGCCGCGGCGGACGCGCGGTTTCGCGTCGCTCC